TCCTGACTTCAGGGCCTGTGCTCTATCCACTGTGCCAGCTAGCTGCCCCCGATTTTTTCATTATTAAAGTATCTGTCTGATAATTTTGAAAGGCAGAAGAGTTCATTTTGCAGTTGGACCCTCATAAATTTTTAAAAGGCTCTTATATCAGGTACAGGATTTAGGTAAGGATAGAAACAACAAATGGTATATGAATTGAAATTCTCTTTAGTTTCAGAATTATCTAGGAACCTCTAGATTTGCAAGCAGAGAAGCAGAGGCTCCTTTAGAGCTATCCTGATAAAATGTCCAAGGAAAGACATCTAGGGACCAGATAACTAACTACATGAGACATCTGGGTCTCAAAATGTGCTAGTTAAATGGATATTTAGAATGGTCACTAGAATATGAGGAGATTTTATTTTAGTTATGTTTAAGTTTTTTAGTTACCTTGGTGACATGTAAATCTCCCTTCTCATTGTGAAACCTCTAAGTAGTTTGATTTGTATCTGACAATGTAATTATGCAACTATGGGAACTGTGAGGAAAAACTTTATTGCATTGTTTGAACTTAGCCCTGTGTGGCTGGGAAACTGGATCAACTCTATATATTATATAGAGTCTCTTAACTAAGGACCTATGTTATGCTGACCAGAAACTCAGACTGAAAGATTGTGCAAGGAATTTTCTCTAAGGGCCCCTACCAGGTCCTTCTGACTACTCTCACAGCCACCAAACTTGTGGATGTGGGTCTCCTGCATCATCTGAAGAAAAACCCCTGCTCTTGAGTGGACAGCAGAACCCTCCAGAGACTTCAAGATTCATGTAGTATGGACTCAGAAACAGACAATATGAGATGAAACAGCTGATTCACGATTCCAGAAGAGGGCTGAGTATACTGTCTTAGTTTTTTCTCTTTTTCCCTTTTGTTATGTGCCCAACCACCAAAGCCTTGATTTAAGTGTGTGTTGGCATTTTGTCCCTCTACATTTTTGGGCCCCCCTCTCTTTTCTGCTTGCAAGCAAACAATTGCAAGCTAGCAAGGACACCTGGAACACACTACCCCAATAGGTCGCCTCAAGTAACTAACCGACTGGGATAAAAATGCTTGTCCTGGCCCAGTTGGCCCCTCGAGGCATCTTGGCTTATACCTGCCTCTCCCTTTATTGTCCAGAAGGCAAGGGGTTCTTTCACACTCCTTCCCTTTGGCCAAAAGGGAGAAATGTCAACATATTAATACACACCCTGTTTTCTAAAGCTAAGGCCCAGCAAAGAAGCTGTGCTCTGAGCTTCACATAACAACAACCCTTTGCTCTCACCCTCTGGATGATCTCACCCTTTGGCAAAAATCACATAATTATTATATTGCTTTGACCAGCCTGCACCAGGTGTTCTCTGAGCTTGGACAAGCACCAGACAAGCTCGGACAAGTACCCATATTCTGGTCATGAAGTCCTGCTAGGCATTGTTGCCGTTCCCCATCATTGTCGGGCCTACAGCTCACTGTGTAACCACAGGTATAAGTACTGAGATCTTTCTACACAGCCTCAAGTCCCCCCAACTAGGGGCAGGGCCCTAGCACATATGTCTTATTCACTCCTTATGCTTCAAAGCTGTTTCTCTCACTTTGAAATTAAAATTGATTCCTGACTTTCCTGTGTCTAGCCTGCTCTGTTCAGTTCCAGTCACCCACAGGTTAAAGGCCGGTTCCATTCAGATGACATGTGTCAGTGCTGGGGACACAAATACCATCAATGAATCCCTACTCTCAAGGAATTTACATTTGTGTGTGTGTGTGTGTATGTGTAATAACAGGACAATATATAAATACAGAGTAAATATAAAGAGAACAAATACAAGGTAGTCTAATAGGGAGGGCACTAGCAGTAGAATCACATTGAATGTGGTATTCGAATTTAGAATTGTGCCCCAAAAGTCATTAAATTGTACATAGCCTTTAACCCAGCAATATCACTAACAGACCTGTGCCCTCAAGAGATCAAAGAAAGATAAAAAGGACCCAGATATATAAAAATATTTATAGCAGCTCTTTTCATCATAGCCCCAACATTGGAAACTAAGTGGGGAATAGCTGAACAAGTTATGGTGTACAAATAATATGGAATAATATTATACCATAAGAAATAATGAAAGGGATGGTTTCAGTGAACCATGGGAAAACCTGAATGAACTAACAATGGAGTGAGCACAACCAGGAGAACAATTTATACGAAACAACGCCACCATAAAAACAAATAACTGAAAGACGTAAGGATTCTGATGAGTTCAATGACCAACCATAATTCTACAGGGCTAATGATAAAGCATGCTACACATCTCCTGAGAGAGACATGAAGGACTGAGAGATCAGAATGAGATATAATTTTTGGACATGGCCAATGGGGAAATGTTTGATTATGCATATTGGTTAGAAAGATTTTTTTTTCAACCATGGTAGGGGATGGAGGCAGAGAAAATTAATTTTTGTTAATTGAAAAAATTTAATGAAAAAAATTTAGGTTAAAAAAAGGTAATCTTTGAGTTGTCTTTTTAAAGAGAAAGATTCTGAGGTAGAAGTGAGGAGAGAGTGCATTCCATCATGGGGGCACGGCCTATGCAAAGGCAAAGGGGATAGGAGTGTCTCCTGTGAAGAATAAAGAGAACAGTGTGGCTGGATTGCCCAGTGTGGGGAGGGAGATTAATGTACAATGAGGCTGGAAATTAGGTTGAGGACAGATTGTGAAATCTAGACTGAGATATTTAGATCTGATTTTAGGAGCAAGAGAAAGTCACTGGAGTTTATGGAGTAGAGGGAATGGTACAATCTGTGCCTTTAAAAAAAATGACTTTGGTTCTTTTTGTGGTGGCAAAGAATTGGAAATTGAGAGGATGCCCATCTATTGGGGAATGGCTGAGCAAGTTGTGGTATATGAATGTAATGGAATACTATTGTGCTATAAGAAATGATGAACAGGCTGACTTCAGAAAAACCTGGAAAGACTTATGTGGTCTGATGCTGAGTGAAGTGAGCAGAACCAAGAGGACTTTGTACACAATAACAGCCACGTTATGCTATGACTAATATTGTTAAACTGAACCCTTCTCAGCATTATGAGGATCTAAGACCTCTCCAGAGGCCTCGGGATGGAAAATGCTGTCCACATCCAAAGAAAGAACTATGGAAGTTGAATCGCTCTCACTTATTTTTATCTTCTGTTGAGTTTTGTTTCATCTTTCTGATGGTTCCTCCTATTGGTTTTAATTTTTACTTACAACTTCACTAATGTGAAAATATGTTTAATGGGTATGTAAATGTGAAGCCTATATCGGATTGTGCGCTGTCTTGGAGAGGGTGGGGGTGGAGGAAAAGGGAGAAAAATTTTTCAACTCAAAAGCATATGAAAAAAAAATTAAAAAATTATTTAAAAACATGACTTTGGCAGCAGTATGGAAGAGAGACTGAGAGGTGACTCGGGAAGACCAATTAGGCTTGAAATAATCTAGTTGAGAAATGATAAGAGCCTGAAGTTGGTAGCTATGTGAGTAAAGTGAAGGTGTATGGGAGAGCCATTGTGGAGATAGAAACTCCAAGATTTGGTAAGTGATTGCATATGTGGAATGAGGGAGAGGGAGGCATAATACTGAGGTTATAATCCTGGGAGAGTAGAAGAAATGGGGTACCTTTAACATAGGGAAGTTTGGAAGAGGAATAAGATTAGGAAAGAAATACAATGAGTTCTGTTTTGGACATTTTGAGTTTGAAATGTCTCTGGGACATCCACTGAAATGTCCAACTGACAAGTGGTCATGCAATGTTAAATGTCAAGGGCAAGACTAGGACAGGATATAGAGACTTTGGAGACAGAAGTCAGACAGGAGAATGAGGAGAGTATTGCATGACAAAAACCCAGAGTAAAGAGTATTTGGGAGGAAGGGGTGGTAAATAGTGTAAAAGATAGCAAATAAGTCTAGAAGCACTAAGACTGAAAAGGATCATAAAATTTGGTAATTAAGAGATCATTGGTAACTTTGGAGAAATCACTGTCCCTGGAGTCTCCTCATTTACACAATGCAGAGAAACTAGAGAGCAGCTGAAGGAACTCTCAACCTCCTCGTATCTGGGGTGTGTTGGGAAAACTGTTATTTAATAGTAATACCTTAGGTTGGAATAGCACTCAATTACTTACAACTCCTTTAAACGTACTATCTCAAAAACCTTTGTGAAAGTTGGCAGTGCAAGTATTATCGTCATACTTGTTTACATTTTACAGATGAGAAAACTGATGCTCCAAAAAGCTTAGATCTATTAGTCTAAATTACACAGGGTCTAGTCAGGACACTGACCAACTTCTTTCCAGTCTAACGATAAGTTTAGACGCTGTAGTTTTCAGCATATAATTTTTAGGGATATATACATATATATACATTAGCAGATTGCTGTGCATTCCTTTGGAATCTTGTTGAAAGGGGCAGGTGAGATTGTTGTAAGGTGCTACATACAAACAAGAGTGATAGTGATCTTGCTCTCACTGGGGTCCATCTGTGTATAGGACAATAGTGTAGTCACCTTGGCGCTTGATAAACTAGAGAAAGTAAAATACAATTTCCCGGGTACTCTTTGAACTGCCCCATCAGTCAGATTCCGGTGGTGATTTTATTTGTGTTTGTTTTTTTTTTTTCTTAAGGGAGGCTTGACAAGTATGAAAATGTAAGTGCATTTCAGATTATTTAAATAAACACAGAAATTGTTCTGATGTAGTTTCTCATTCCTGTGCATTCGTCAACTAAGTCAAGCTTGTAAAACGGGTATTTCATCACCTTGCCACACTTATCTTTGAATCCCTGGCACCAAACGTGGTGCTGTGCCCAGGGTGGGTATTAACGTTTGTTGAATTGAATCCTCTTCTTGCCGACCCTGAGCTGGAGACCCCCAAAGGGACGGTACATCAGTTTTTAGAGAGGGTGTTCGTTAGTGATTCGAAACTTAAGGAAAACTTATCAACCATAGGTTATGAACTTACTCTTTAGTTTCCCCAATACACCAGAGTTCCTTGGAATATTTTCTTTTCAAAAGTTTGCAAACCCTTCCAGGCTTTTCTGCAAAGCAAGCAGCTCACGTTCTCCCCACGCTGTAGAACAGGGATACCTTCTCTTGTCCCGAGGAAGGCTAGTTTTCCAGGCAACTTCCTTCGTAGTTGACTAGGGCTTTTCGTGCTGGCTCCCAAATAAAAGGGCCCAGGCTCCATTTTGTGAAGGCAGGAAACTCCCTTCTCTACCAGCCTTGCAAACCCGGGGCGGGGGAACAATAGCCAGCTCCTTCCATCCTCCTTCACCAGATCGTGGGGGCGTGCTGGGGAGTAGGGAAAAGGAGGGGGCGGATGTGTGTGAGTGTATGCGTCTCTGTGTGTGCATGTGTGTGCGCGCACTAGGGAGGGCGGGGAATTGTCCGGACCTGAGCTTTGCTCCCTGGACGTGGTCGAATGGGCGGCGTGTCCTGGGGTATAGGAGGGGGAAGGAACAGGAACGAAAAGCTGGGAAAACTGGAGATCCACAGCTGAGGGCCGGGAGGAGAAGAGAGGAGAGGGGTCTAAGAGACTGGGTGTTGAGCGGCTTTTGGAGTGACCCGGACCCGACTGGGCGGAGCTGGGCGGCGCCAATGCTGGACTCCTCGGGACTGGGCTAGAGAAGGCGGGGCTCGGCGTGTTTAAGGGAGGAAGGGGAAGGAGAGGACGAGAAGAGCGGGAGGTGGAGCTGTTTGGGAGGAAGGGGAAGGGATGGGATAGCAGCAGCAGCAGCAGCCGCAGCAGCCGCCGCCGCCGCCGCCGCCAGAGCAGCTGGGGCCGCCCCCTCCACCACCGCCGCTGCAGCAGCAGCAGCAGCAGCAGCAGCAGCAGCAGGAGGAGGAGCAGCCGTCCGGACTGTGTGTGTGGTGTGTGTGTACTTGGGAGGAGGAGGAGGAGGAGGAAGAGAAGGAAGGGTGTTTCCTAGGGCTGTTACCAGCCCGAGTGACTCAAAGCAGGAAATTCCCCCGGACCGGCTAGTCCGAGCTGGGGAGCGCGAGGTCCCGGGAGCCAGCCCCTCCGCCCTGCCTGGGGGGCTAGGGACGCCTTGCAGCTGGGCAGAGGCGCCTCCCCCAACGCCCGGTAAGAAACTTTTCTCTGCTTCTCTCTCTCTGGCTCCCCCGGGGCCCGCACCGTGCGCGGGGCGTGGGAGCTTGGGGAGGAGAAGCGGGGAGTCCTCTCCGCCGTTTTCGCCCTCCCCCACCGGCGTTTGCACCCACCGCTCCACCCCTACCCCCCAATACGTGGCCCCCAGTAGCTGGGTGCGGGCGAGGGGCTTCTCGGCTCGTCCGAGCCAGAGTTAGGGGAGCCCCTTTCCGGGGGGCGCTCCGCGGCACCTACCCCGCGGCCAGTGCCTGCATCCGAGCCCATGCGCGGGGGCTGGGGTAGAGGGCCAGCGGGCTGCGGACCGCGCTGTGCGGGGATGGGATCCTGCCCCGGCCCCCGCCGCCTCCCTTCGTCCTTCCGAGTTGGCTGCAAACCTCGGGGTCCCCTTGGGGAAGAGGAGAGGGCGAACGGAACCTAGCCCTGGGACTTAATTTGGGGAAGGGGTGGCCCATGGATGAAATCTCATCTCAAGAAACCTCACGCCCCAAGCTGTGAGTTGTGTGTGTGTGTGTGTGTGTGTGTGTGTGTGTGTGTGTGTGTAAGTGTGTATGTATGTGTGTAAGAGCCCCACAACTTCCTGGTCCTCTGGAATGTCACTCCTTGAAATCAACTTCAAGAAAAAGATGCAGTGACCAGGAGTGGGGAAACCCCACGCCCCAAGCAGCGTGTGTGTGTGTGTGTGTGTGTGTGTGTGTGTGTGTGTGTGTGTGTGTGTATTTTATAGTCTTACACCTTCCTTGGTTTTCTGGAATACCACTTCTTGAAGTCAACTCCAAGTAAAAGATGCAAGAGGTGACTGGGAGTGGATGTAATTAACCCCCTGGCTTTTACCAGTGGTTTACTCTTCCCCACCGAGCCCTAGTTGACCCTTTGGTGAAAGAGGCCTCCATTTAGGTGCTTAGCACAGTGGCACAGATTTGGGGTTGTTTGGATCGTGTATGGTTCATATCAGTAGTGGCCAGGTTATTATATCAGAACAGGATGTTAAGCAACTCAAAGATCTTTGATGAACTCTATTTTTAAGATGCATAAAATTAACTCTTCTTTATGCCCTATGCTTTCTTTTTCTGTTTCCAAACCATGAAATAGCAATCATCTAATTGTATATAAAAGAGACAGTTATTAGGTGCACATTCACCTAGTATAGTGGTGTAGGGTTGGCCTTTTAAGTTTGAAACTTATGTTTTTTAATGTGGGAACTCCCTTCACATGCTTTTCCTTACAAAGGACAAGAGATCACTTTTAAAATTAGAGAATTTTCAATGGAAGTCAATTATTGAACACCCGTAGCGTGTAGAGCATTGTAGTTAATAATAATAGCTGACTTTTATGTAGTTCTTTAAGGCTTGCAAAACGTTTCATCTCATTTGAAACTCACAGTGGCTCTGGGAAGCAAGTGTTAATATCCTTTTAGTAAACTGAGGCCTAAGAGAGGTTAAGTAATGGAAATTGTAGGTCACTTTCGTAAGCCTGTTAATCTTGCATGAAGATGATAGATCAAGACTTTAAACAACTTTTTTAATGCATTGCTTTTCCCTTGGGAGAGGAGAGAGCTCATTCTAAAGTAAATGGAATTTGCTGGACAGAGAGTGTAAAGCAAGATTTGTCAGGTCTTCCTGTAGATGTGTTTTGTGCCAGTATTATGGAAGTAACAGTCACTTTTCTTTCCTCTCCTGATGGTGAGTTTTAAAAATATGACAAAAATTCCATAATTTATATTTTAAGTATGGTTTTAAGTATATCTAGTATAAAATATTAAGTATATAATATTTTAAATATTTTAAGTATGTAGTTGGAAACGTCACAGATTGTGTGGGTATAGGAAAAGGAATGAAAGACTAATTGAAGAGTTAAGTTTAAGTATCATTTTTAAAGCCAAGAGGAGGATCCGATGGCAATCTTGGGGTTGATGTCTTTACAATGACAGACTGTAGTTGCTTATTAAAGCCTGAATTGTATTATTTGTTGTCTTTGGGCAGCTGAAGCTTTGGTATCTTAATATTTGATACTAATAGACAATTTCAATACTGTATGCCTCAGTATGTCATTTACCATGATTTATGTTCATTTTGGCTTGATGGTGTAAAATGGTAATTAATCACTGATTATGAACTGTGTCTGCAGGGTAGACTTAAAGCAGTGTTTCAACTAGAAAAAATTCCAGTGCATGTTGGTGAATGTGTTGGAACATTTGATCAGTCTTGTCAAGAGTCTGACAACTAAAAAAGGCTATCATTCTTAAAATTATACGTTATCATACCTGTACATGTAAGATGTTAGATTTGCGCTTGCTGTTTTGTTATTCCTGGAGCACCTTTACTTGATATTTCTATTTGAAGAAAATAAATTAACTTGGGGCCTGAAAGAAATGACATTATAAATGGCGTTATAGGCAAATGTAATTTCCTTTTTAAAAAAATTGTAAATATTAGCATTATATTGCTATTGCCAAGTCGACTGGCGCTCACTCCTGTAATTGCATCATTATGGTTAAAATGGGATTATGGCATTGAAGATTTCCTGGGCCAAAAAAATAAGGTTTGTAGGCTTTGTGTTTGTGTGTGTGTTTGTGTTCACTCTCAAGTACAGGCACCTTTAGCACTAGTCCATGAAATTGTCTTGAATAGTTTAATAATTGTATTTTAATATAATTGATTTCCTTTGTAACATATGTTATTTTATGCATTGAAAAACATTATTTTTAGAAGGACATTATTGGTTTCACCAGATAGCAGAAGGGGTCCATAAAACATAAAAAGTTAAGAATCCTGATCTAGTCCATTCCTCTCTTTTTATTAATGAGGCAACTGAGGCCTGGAGGGATGAAATGACTTTCTTAAGGTTATATAATTTTAAATTAAGAATGTTATCTTTTGGGCCAAATTCTTAAATCACTTATGCTTATTCTAATTCTTAATTTGTGAAGATGTTACCATCAGGAGAACATGTGATTTTGATTTTAATTTTTTTTCCTCAGTAACACTAGTGGATTTCCACTGATCCTTCCATACACCCTCAGCCCCTTTTGTGACCTGTTCTGATAGATTCATTTGAGTACTCTCTCTCTCTCTCTCTCTCTCTCTCTCTCTCTCTCTCTCTCTCTCTCTCTCTCAACTGAGCAAAGGATTCAGATATTGAAAAAAATGTAATAGCTTTACAGTTTTATAAATAAGCTACAAATAGGTCCTTTTCCCTTTTCTTTGATCTCTTTGGGATACAGACCTAGTAGTGGTATTGCTGGGTCAAAGGGTATGCACGGCTTTGTAGCCCTTTGGGCATAATTCCAAGTTCTTCTCCAGTATTTATAAATCATATGGAGATAATACAACTGATGGACCTCAGGCAGGGAATGTGACTTACCCAAGGTGATACCCCTAGGTGCTGGTTGGTGGGTTTAGGACTACAACTAAGATCTTTTTCACTCAAAGTTAATTGTGAGTCTCAAATAAGAATGTATTGAGAGAGACACAGAGGCACCTAAATAGTTCAGTGGATAGAGCACTAGGCCTGGAGTCAGGAAGACCTGAGTTCAAATGTAGCTTCAGACACTTATTAGCTGGGTGACCTTAGGCAAATCATTTAACCTCTGTTTTCCTTAGTTCACCAGAGAAGGAAATGGGAAACCGCTCGAGTAATTTTGCCAAGAAAATCCCATGGACAGTATTGGCGTGTTATGGTCGACAGGGTCACAAAGAGTTGGACGTGACTGAACAATAAATTGAGGGTGTGGCATAGTAGACAGAGAGGTGGCCTCAGTTAAGAAAACCTGGATTTAAATTCTGTCTGTGGAATACTGCTGTCTATGTAACCCTGCTAGGACAAGTTACTTCACCTGACAGTGTCTTTGGCATCTCTTGAAGACTCTTAAATTATAAAAAAAAATCACAGGTCCGCATTGGCATAGGGGGTTTCTCAACCAAAACCGTGTATGTATGTTTCTATGTATATATATGTGTGTATGCATGTATATGTGTATGTATGCATATACACATACACACACACACACACACACCCCTATACACATACGTATATAATCTGTGACCTGTAAAATGTTGCAAAAAGTGAAGTGGAGCTATAATGATGACAAAATCATGGTAACACCAATCCTCTGTGGGCTGAGTTTCACATGAAGACAAGGAAGACTACCCAGGCCAGTTCCCTGGCTCTATGAATAGAACTTGATTTTGCTTATTCAATGGAGAAGTACCATCAGTACTTTTACAGTGCTGTGGTATAGATTTGGCAGGCAGCAGGCAGCCTCATTGGCTGTTAGCAGAACTTCAAACACATGCTCATCTCTAAGGCTTACATTAGTCATTAAGGGATCTTGACTTCCCTAAAAGGGTGAACTCCTTGGAGACGTTCCATTCTTTGAGTCCTTTCTGTCACTCAACTTAACAAATTATATCAAGGGTCTATTATATGCTTAGGAAACCTAGACTCTTAAGGGGATACAAAAGAAATTAAAAAGTAGTTCCTGTCTTTAAGGCGCTTATAATCTAGTTAATTATTTATTGATCGACTCACTGGAATATTTGCTTTTGATATAAAGCTAGAAAAGAATTCCACCGATTTCCTTTGTCTAAAAACAAGCAGAATTACTGTAGGAGAAAACTGTTGGAGCGAAGGGGCCACTAGAGCAAGAATGAGATAGTGATAAAAACTAATTGTACACCCCTCCCCCCATCTTCTTTCTCTTCCTTTCTGCCTGTGAACATCCCATCCTTAAAAAAAAAAAATCCTTATTAGATTATTCTATTCCTTCAAACTGTTTTCTTACGAAGCTCTTCCTTTTCACAACCAGACTCCTAGAAAGAAAAAATCTCTTGTCTATGCCTCCACACAATCTCCTCTCACTCACTTTTCAGTCCTCTGCAGTCTGGATTCTGTCCTCATCATCTGAATGAGACTGCTCTTTCCAAAGTTACTAGAGAGCTCTTAATTTCCAGATTTAATATTTTTTTTCCCCCAATCCTAGTCGTCCTTGACTTCTCAGCAGCTTTTAATGCTGTTGACCATCCTCTCCTGGATACTCTTTTTTTTGGGGGTGGGGCAGGGCTGGGTACGATGGGGTTGTGACAATGTTCTCTCTTGGTTTTTCCTCTTAGCTGTTTGGTGGCTCCTCGGTTTCCTTTGCTAGCTCTCATCCCAAAATGTACTCCTTAAATGTGGTTAAATGCCAAGACTGTCCTTGCCACGTCTTCTTTTACCTATTGCCTCTGAGATCGAAGACAAACTCCCCTGTTTGGCAATTAAAGCCCCTT